CTTAACGTTTGCCCAATTTACCCTCCTCCTTTATACCGATAGGTTTTTTTTTTTCCCCACAAGCTGAAGAAGAGATTAACAGGCAAAAATAATTTCAGTGTAAAATAAGAGAAGAACTGTGTGCAGCGTCTGCAAGAAGTTGAACATTTAAAGATCTCTTTAGGTATCCAAAAACCAAGGGTTCACTTTAAAAGCATGCATTAGAAAGAGGTGTGCAGTTGGGAAATAAATGCCTGGTTTGTGATTGAAGCCCTTGATTTTTGTGTATTAAACGGAGGTCCTGATTAAGAGGGGTTCCTTGAAAAGGGGTAGAAGCTGGAGAATCCTTATATTCGTACTCCTTGTATTGTACCCAAGCCGGTGTGTGTGGCGTCGCCCAATCGTAATACCTGCTGGCAGTGTAGCACGGTTGTGCGCTGCACCCCGTGCCCTCCCCTTCTCCCTGAGGTTGTGAACTGTCCCGTTGCAGGGAGGAACTGGGGAAGAACATCAACGCAGACGAGGCAGCAGCCATGGGCGCAGTGTACCAGGCCGCTGCCCTCAGCAAGGCCTTCAAGGTCAAACCGTTCCTGGTCCGCGACGCCGCTCTCTACCCCATCCAGGTGAGCGAGGGGACGAATGACCTTCAACCTTTGCTTGGGGTTGATTCCAAAACCCTGAGTCGGTGGAGGTCCTTCCCGTCTCTTACCGCTGCTTCCTGTCCTTCTGGCCAGGTGGAGTTCACCCGCGAGATGGAGGAGGAAGACGGGGTGAAGAGCCTGAAGCACAACAAGCGTGTCCTGTTCCAGAGGATGGCCCCCTACCCCCAACGCAAGGTCATCACCTTCAACCGCTACTCTGATGACTTCCTCTTCTACGTCAACTATGGCGACCTCAGCTTCCTCAGTCTTGAGGACCTCAGGTGTGTCCTAACTGCTGCCAGCACAGCTGTGCCATCCCGGCCACTCCCGTTCAGTCCCGCCTTGCATCGAGAATCGCCAAGCCCTCCCCTTATCAACAATGCATGGCAGACGGGTCCTTATAAAGAGGGGCTTTTGAAAATAGGTCCTTCGTCTAGAACAAGCTGGAAAATCCAGTATTCGTACTTGAAGCCTTGTGCTTTGCTTGCCTCCTACGTGAGATAAGGTTCAGACACGCGGAGGTGAAACAGCCAAGCAGGTCATCATGTCTGCGGTACTTACTGTTCCTTTCTTTAAACCTTCCTTCCTCTTCAGAGTGTTTGGCTCCCTCAATCTGACCACAGTCGCGCTCAAGGGAGTGGGCAGCAGTTTCAAGAAGCACACAGAGGCCGAGTCGAAGGGCATTAAGGCGCATTTCAACATGGACGAGAGTGGCGTTCTGACACTAGACAGGGTAAGTTAACCCTCCCTCCCTCTGCTTTTGCAACTGGTCTGGGAGAGTGTGACTGAGCTTCTTAAATGTGAAAAGGAAGCCATTTGCATTCGAGTTTTGCAAAGAGGGATTTGTGAACGAGTGCAGGAGTGAATAAAGAGAGGTTCGGATCTGTTCTTGCAGGTGGAATCGGTGTTCGAGACCATAGTGGAGGAGAGAGAGGAAGAATCAACTCTTACAAGTGAGTACACCAGTGAGTTGGGAAAATAATACGTGCTACGTGATCTCTTAAATAAGTACATTGCTTGTTGTGTGCATACTTTTTTTTTAAACCTATGGCCTGGTTGGATCTAAAAATTCTTGGAATGGTGCTAACTTTTGTGCTTAATCTGAATTGGAAGCACATTGTGAAGCAGCATTTTTTTTATCGGTTAAAAAAGAAAATATCTTTTGTGCAAATTCCAAATTGTTTAAGCCTGTCATGCTGCGCTGTCAGCTGGTTTTGACTTGATGCTTACAATGATCTTTGTTTTCTTTGTCGATAACATCTTTTAAGAACTTGGAAACACAATCTCCAGCCTGTTCGGAGGAGGGAGCTCTGAACCCAAGGCAAATGTATCCGAGCCTGTCCAGGTAAAGACAGTGTTTGTGTTCTTTGCAGTGTAGCTTCACAGAACAACAGAGCTGGAACGTGACTGCAACACGTAGATTAAGAATGGATATTGGGGGTGTTTTCCCTGCAACAGCTCAGAATTTGAACACTTGTCCCCCC